CTCTATAGATGGAATAGACATATTTAAGCTCATATTATTGTCATTTATTGAATAGCAAGCTGAAAGTGGTAAAACTATGCTTTTCTTCCAATTGTATCAAACACAGTGGGGGACATTTACTAAAACTGGTGCACACATAATCTGGTACAGCTGGGGACAGTAACCAATCAGCTTCTATCTTCAGCTTGCTCAATTAAGCATTGACAATAAAATGTAGATGGTGATTGGTTACTGTGCACAGCTGCACCAGATTCCGTGTGCACCAGTTTTAGTAAATCTCCTCTATTTAGTCTTGGCTGATTACTGATACTAGTGAAACAGCCACTGAAATAAACTGAAATCTCTTCATTGTATCACTTCATTTTTAAAAACCTAATACAATAAAAGTATGCAGGTACAAGGCAAAGCAACAGATCTAAAAAAAACTTCTGTATCATATCATGGCATCTAGAAATGTAGCATCTCAAATGGATCTCAATTCCAAACAACAATGTATGAAACAGACAAAAGATAAAGCTGCTCCTATCTTTCTCAGCTCACTGGGGCTCACTTCTCTGAGGTCTGTTTCTTCAATACACAATTTTACAAAGTCCTGGAAATGCACACCAATTTCAAAGGATAATAGCAACTTTAGTCATATTTCTTCCCCCCAAACCCCCATCTCTCTTTTACACCTCTTTTGGGTTTCCTCCCAGTCTCCCAAGTTTTTTTTTCTGTCCTTTTTAACCTCCCTAGCGGTCTGATTATGTCCATATTTCTGTGCTTAAAGCGGTACATTTTTTTGCATGGAAATATGTTTTTTTTTATTGTAGGCCTGAAATTTTTAGGAACTCACTGAAATCTGTCCGAACAAGAGTCTAGTAAACATCCCGGGTATGTTACAATTTGAAACACGAAATCATAAATTATAATTTAATAAATAATAAAAAAAAATAATAATATAATAAGTTTAATTCAATAATATAATCAAACCAAAAACACTGACATTTGAAATATAGCGCCAAGTTCGCACATCACTGAGCAAAGTCGTAAAATCGTTTTCAGTGTCTGATGACGAATTTCCCCACGAATCATTATCACTCAATTCTGCAAGTGGTTCTGATTTACTATCGCTGTTCTCTAGCTGGTCTAAAACCACTTTTGACCTAAAGGGATGCTTTTTGGACGCCATGGACATTTCTCAGTTTCCAGGCAGAAAGAACAGTAAAAATGCAGGGATGTCACAGGACAAAGCACTAGGGACAAAATGTATGTGAAATGGTTTGATACAGTAATGTTTTACTATGTGATTTTAGTGTATTTAGTGAATGTCACTTTTTGTAATTTTCAAATTTCCCGCCAGTTCCATCCCCCATACGTCCCGACGTCGCAGGGGACGGAACCCAGAAGACAGATGCGGAGAACATTGCCGGGTACACTACAGGAGGGACATCGTGGGAGCGCAGGACAAGGTAAGAGAAGAACAGATCCCGGAGCAGTGCCGCATGGTAAAACCAAATGTAGCTCGGGGTTACCCCTTTTGGTACTGAAACTGTACCCCATCTTGTACATGCGCTTGTGTATAGACTTCTGCACATCCACATAAAGATATGTAAATGCACAAAAGAATGTCCCTGTATACAGTTTTACAGTTTACCAAAAAACGTAGTTAAAAAATTTGTGTTTTCCAATATCCTATAATGTCATTATTAGTGCGCACTAGATGTGGTTTTATTCCTACATATTTATGCATGGTTGTGCAAATTTAAAAATCTTAACAATAAGATATATATTTGTAAAAATGGTGTTTATTTTTATTTGCTTTAAGTGTTGCACTTTTAAGGCAAATGTCAGTTAATAAATCCTGAAGAAAGTCATTGACCCTGATTTACTAAAATAATAGAGTATGTTCACTATGAAAGTACTTTTTCCTTTTGAAAAGTGAGTGAGGTAAAACAAAGTAAACATTTATTTTGCAAAGGAATATACAATCATTTATAATGAAAATAAAAACAAAAAAGAAATTTGTCAAAGGTGGTTGAATGATTGATATCAGCACAATGTTACATCATTCACTAAGCTAAGCTAAAACTTTACTTTGCAAATAGAAAATTCACTTTGCTAAGTAATTCAGCCCCAATGCTTAATATTCCAACCAAGTGCTCACAAATAAGTCATTTATTAAGCTTCAGCCTTTTTTGTTTTCTATGAAAAGTATTCAACTACCAGAAAGCAATACTAAATATTTAAGAGTGCAAAATATGGTGCATTTCTGCATAGAAACCAATCAGCTTCCAGGTTTTTCTGTCAAAGTTTAATAGAACAAGCTGAACTTAAACCTGATTGGCTACTGTGCACAGCTGCACCAGATTTTGAATGCTCCAGTCTTAGTAAACCTCCCCTTAGTAACCAGGTTACTGAGACCAAGTCACCCAGACCAAACATAATAGTGTCAGTATGCACTGGTCTTGAAAATAACTAACTTGTCTACCTAACATTATTTCTTAAGGACTTTCTTGATACACTGTTGGTAAAAAGTGTTCCTTTTTTAATCTAGACAAAAGATGACAAATAGATAAAAATGTGAAAAGACAAAAAATAATTTTTGTTATATTGTTCATAAGAGCTTTTAATTACTTTTTAATATTTGTTTTTACATTTTATTGTACAGTGATCTCACTGTTTAAAATGTGGTAAAGTGATTAGTTAAAAATGACCTTCAGCATATGATGCACAGTTATAAGTACTCTACACAAGAGCCTATCAATAGTTTGACATAATCAGGAGCATATTCCACCTTTTCCTCCTTCTAATAATGGGATTACACTGATGGGATCATCATCAAACAAAGGGCCTAAGCAAAAGAGAAGCTAAAGAATGCCTATTGTACACACTATATTCTTGTACAACTAACGTATCTTCCACTGTTTGGTAAAAAAGGTTGCCCGATACTAGGTGCTAATGTTTCACATAAGTCTTGTATGATACTGTTAACCTGTATCTTTAGATTGAATGGGTATTTAATGCATCATAATGATGAAAATAAAGAAACAAATATTGCTATGTAAACAGTAAAGACAGCAATACTTTTATTCAAACTTACCTGATATGATGCACTTAGCAGAGCCCCGGGTTGGTTTACATACTCTTCATTATTTGGCATTTGAGAGCTGTTTGGAGTGAAAACTATTAGGTCACTTTTTCGTTGTAATGAGTTTGAACATACTCTGTACTGAGTTTGTTGAGAGTATACCCAACTACCTCCAGTGTTTGAACAGATCCTGTAATTTTCCTTCAGGTCTTTCACCTCATCTCTGCATTTTTGCCATCTTAAAACAGTAAAGGCAATTAGTGTAATGAGAAATACACTTGATATTACACAGATGGCAACAACTAAGTAGATATTTGCTTCAGTAAATTCTTCCATAACTCCTTTGGATTCCTGATTATCATACAGAATTTCTTCTCCAGATTCCACCAAAGAGATGACGATTTCTGCAACCGCTGTCATGACTGGCTCACCATGGTCTCGAGCCACCACCATTAGTCTATATTCTTCATTATCTGACTCTGTAAATGCCCGCTTTAATCCAATTTCTCCTGTTTGCTGAGATATAACAAATGGAGCTTTTCCTGAGAGATCCTTTAAATGATAAGACAACAGAGCGTTGTATCCGGAATCATTGTCTACTGCTCTCAATTTAGTGATTAAATGTCCGGGTTGAATTGTTTTTGGAGTTCTTATTGTCAATGCAGGAAAAAGTGGCATGAAAGTGGGAGCATTGTCATTGATATCCTCAATGAAAATATTCAGGGTAAGGTTTGAAATAAGTGAAGGTAAACCAGCATCAGTTGCTTTTATGTGACACTGGAAATAAGTCACTTGTTCATGGTCAAATGAAACTAAAGCAAATACTTTTCCATTCTCTGGATTGATAGAGACATAAGAAGATATGGGGATCCCATCAACAGTGCTGTCACCAATGGAATATGTGATAAAGGAATTCTGCCCCACATCTGGGTCAGATGCTGAAGTTGTATATACATGAGAACCTGGTGGATTGTTTTCTTTGATAAAGATTGTATCAAAAGGTTTATGAAATAATGGGGCATTGTCATTCACATCACTAATATCAATTTTAAGAGTCTTTGAAATTGACAGTGGTGGTGTTCCCTCATCCCTTGCCACTATAACAACTTCATAATGAGATGTTATTTCTCGATCCAACTTCCCATTCACAGTTAAAGAAAAATCTTTCTTGAATGCTGGATGTATTTTGAAGGGTGAAGAATCTATGATATTACAGCTAACTTTTCCATTTAATCCTGAATCATGGTCATGTATACTTATGATGGCCACAGTTGTTCCTTGTGGAGAGTCTTCAGGAACAGATGCAGCAAGCGAAGTTACTGTCATCTCAGGGGGATTGTCATTAACATCTACAACAGTCACTAGAACTTTACAATGTCCAACCAATTGGATATCCCCATTATCCACAGCATCAATTTGTATTTCATACATTTGTGCCAGTTCAAAATCCACTTTTCCAATCACTCTTATTTCCCCAGTATTCTTGTCTAAACTAAAAACTTTGCTGATGTCATCCTTCGATGATTTACTAAATGTATATAAAACATCACCATTTTTCCCCTGGTCTAAATCTGTGGCATTTAATTTAATTACTAATGATCCTTTGGGAGCATTTTCAATCACACTGGCTTGATAAAATGGCTGATTAAATGCTGGAGCATTATCATTAAGATCTTCCACTGTGATAATGATTTCAGATGTACCACTTAGTCTTGGCTTACCACCATCATAGGCTGAAAGTGTGAGATTGTGAACAGATTGCTTTTCTCTGTCTAGAGATTTCTTTAATACAAGTTCTAATGATCTGATCTGATTCATATATTTCTGGAAATCTAGTGCAAAATAATCACTGGCACTGAGCTCATAATTTGTAACAGCATTAGTTCCAAGATCTGAATCAACTGCTCCCTCTACATGGAAACGAGATCCTGCAGGCATTAATTCAGATATCACAAGATTACTCACAGAGGATGGAAATGCTGGTCTATTGTCATTTATATCTTCTATTTCAATATCTACAAGATACATCTGTACAGGTTTATCCACTATAACCTGAAGAGGAATAATGCACAACTGTATGCCTGGACACAGCAATTCCCTGTCTATTGTCTCTTTAACAAACAGAATTCCATTCTGCAAATTCACCTGGAAATATTCCTTCTCATCTCTAGAGACAACATGTAACATTCTGGAATTAATCTCACCTAAATCCAGTCCCAGATCCTGTGCAATTCTTCCAACAAAGGTGCCATGTTTGGATTCCTCCGGGATGATATAATGCAGCTGACATAAGACCACGTTCCAAGACATTTGAAGTAACAAAAAATGGACTAATCTGTCTTGATAATGCAAGTTGGTGTTGGACATATCTTAGAATCACTGAAGCTGAAGGTTGTAATTTCTCCAGTAAGGATGACATTAACGTTTGCTGAAAATCCACAGCAGAGAATCAAAAATCCAGCATGGCCGACGTTGTTGCAGTATGGTATTCAGAATCAGCAACAGAAAACTATACTCAGTCCTCGCCTTTCTGCTATACGTTGGTACAGAGTGACATCTAGTGCCTAAGATTCAAGTTGCATCTTGTTTGAGGAACTAAATTGTAAGTTTACATTAAAAGCATGCTTTCCTTTTGAAAGTCAATTTTAGAATAAATTATAAAATAAATGAAAACCTTGATTTTATTGTTGCACATATTTTCCTAAGCAAACATTTTTTAGTTTTTAAAAGGAGAAAAGACTACTAAATATATTTTTTTATGTTTGATTACAGTCTTGAGGTTATATATCTTTATCTTTTAAAATATGTCAAATTCAGTTTCTAGAGAGCAAATAGCCAATAAACATATGGTTTGCTCATTTTAAAACAATGAAGACCAAAAGATTCACTACAATATTTGTTGGTGTCACTAAAACATTTGTCTATACCTAATTCTAATCATTATTTGCGTGCTTTCTTCAGAATGTTGTGTGTCAAGTAAACATTTTTAATTTATAATTTTAGCTTTGTTAGCAATGTTTATATTTTGCAATGTGAAAAAAAGCTTTATTTGACATATCTTTTTCCAGCTCTACCTGAAATGTGCCATACATAAATAAATATATCATGAATGGAAAATATAATTTAATACCAAAAATGAAATATTAAATACATACAGCATCTAACAGTAAACTTCTAAGATTGATATTTGTGTATTCCTGACTTTTTTATATTATGACAAAAGTTTTTTCTGATAACCAATACACATAATGTAACTCATTTAGTAAAGTTGTTTAATTTTTGTTAGCTTCATTAAATTTTAAGGCGTATTACTATTAAACATTTTTTCTTTCTGGGGACATGTCTGCTCAGGATCATGAAAACCAGTACTACTTCGGGATATGAAAGAGAAGGTGAAAAAGTGAGATAGGAAACATTCTTTATGTTAGATATACATGTATACATTGTTACATTATTCTTGTTTCCCAGGCCCTTGGGTTCACCAAGAACTTAAACATGTTTCAGTAGATATTTCTAACATATTTCTAATGCAAAAAAAATGCTTTTTTCAGGACACTATATAGTTTGTTGGAGAGGAAACTGATAAATCAAGTTATTTCTTCCATGAAAAAATGTTTACATCTATAGCCAGTTGGTAAAGGACAACAACAGGTATTAGCCAAACCTTCAAAGGTAAAAAAAAAATACAAAGGAGCATATTTGTAAAGCAGTAAATGTGACATTTAACAAATTTGACTACAGGCTAACCTTCCTGATGCATGTGTTTTTAATTTACAGGGAATGATTAACCACCTGTTAATGTTTGGTGAATGTCACATTCTCATCGTTTTAAATATGTCTGAAAGAATAAGAAATACAGCTTGATATGATGGGTATATCTGCAATATATTTGTGAATTCCAAATTACTAAGCATAAATATATTATACCAGAACTGCAGAGGAATGCAAGGATGGTGGTTACTATCTATACAGCTTTCTTTAACCTTTTTACGTTATTTCTAAAATCACATTTACTAACTAGTATTGGTTATCAAACTATTGTTTCTGGTAAGCTTGTTGACTTTCCTTGTCAGAATAAAATGCTTGTGAGTAAAGCTTTTTTTTTAAACAAAATATTTCCTTGTCTGCTGCTTTTTCAGAAAAGTAGAATGAAAAGTAGAAAAGTAGAATGTATTAATAGTTTCCAGATTATTCAATAAACAAGACTTTAAAAAACTGATTTACTTACAGAGTTTACAATCTCATTAAAAAAATGAGTAAATATTCAATCTTGTGAAAAACAAATTCCTGTTTATGTATTTTATCTTCACATTACTGGGTATTTAAAGTGAACACAGGTGCAATTTTTCATTGAATAATAATAATTATTAATTTGCTTAGTAAATTGATCTTAACATATCAGTTTCAATTACTAATATTTAAACACATTTCAGCCCATAATGTTGCAAAACAATTGAATAGCAGGTTATTGTATCGAACACATTTAGTATTATCTGATTACTGATACCAGTGATATTTGTTTAAAACAACCATTTACATGAGTAGATATTAATTTTACTTTAACAAATAGGCTCAAGCTGGTTACCCTACTTAGGTCTACAATAGGAAGTCAACACTAACTCTGTGAGCCTGAAAAATGAAAAAAAAAAAAGTTTAGGGATGAGTCATTGTATTACATTTGTATAGCAGGCTTGCATAAGTACTGAATGTATGCATGATCCCTAAACTTCACTAATTGTATGGTGATGTCCAAAGTATACAATGTGTTTCTAACTTCCCATGTGTGTTGAACATTCAAATTATGCTTCTTTTTTTTCCAATAAAATGCAATAAGGCATAAGTATGTCAACATTTTACCTGAAAATAAAAAAACATTGTTTTAAACACTAATTTGAGAGCTCACCACACAATAAAATATATGCAAGTGCCAGCCAAAACATCAGGTCTAAAAAACCCATCTGCAATGCTATCCAGCATGTCAAAGAGGATCTTACCATTGAAATCTCTATTCTAATCAACAGTGTATTAAATCTTCCACACGAATTTGTGTGTGTGAACTTATACACATGTGCACAAAGATACATAAATAAGCAATAACCTCTGCATACAATTCACTAAGACTTTTAAAAAATTTGTGTTTTTTGCAATCTCATTTAATGATTGCAGTGCACACTAAATGTGGTTAAAATGTTAAAAAATGTTACAATATTAACAGCACTTAGGTGTACACTGAAAAACCCAAGTTTTTATTTTATACATACCATGGTTAACTGGAGGTGAATTTGGTGCTGAAGAATACATTCCATAGCAAATTTAATTGTTCAGTAAATTTAGCATATGTGCACTGAAGCCTATGTGTGCCAGTGTCCATGTACACAATGGGTTCATAGTAAATATTACAAGGATACTATTTGGTTGTTTGTGCATGATTGATGCATTTTTGTACATGCAGAGCTATTAGTAAATCAGCCCCCGTGCATCATAAATTAAACCTTGTAGTAAGACAATGAACCTGATTTACTTAAAGAGTCCACCATGTAGAGCATCTTCAAGGTGAATTTTTGATTGCTAGTATGAATGAGGTTAATTAAAGATAAATTAATTTTGCATACAATAGCCATTTGGAAGTAAAATAAAAAAAAAAAGCTGAATTTTTCCTTGAAGGTTCAATGATTGAAGTCAGTGTTACTTAATTCATTAAGTTAGCCAAAATACATAATTTATTTAGCTGAAACCTTTACTGCTTCCAAGGAAAAGTGTTAACTCCTTCATGACTGAGGGTAAAACAAACCTGAAGGCCAAGACCCACTTTTGCAACTTTGACATGTGTTAGTAAAACTATACAAATTATTGCAAATATATTATGTATCCAGGTGAATTGTACCTTGTTTTTTAACAGGACAAATTGGGCTTTCATTTGGTGGTAAATGTTAATGCATATCGCCTGATTTTGTTTTAATATCAAAGGAAAACAGGCCCAAAATAGTAAAAAAAAATCTGTTTCTCTTAAATTTAGTGTATATTTCTTGCTATTATCATAACTTGCCAAACACCAACCCAAAATAAATTCTCCTGCTCCAGATAATCACAGCGATGCTGAATATGTGTATGTTATTTGTTGTTTGTGCCTGTAGTAGGGTCCAGAAGTAGTGCACATTTTGCTTTTTTACCTAAAACATACTGACACTGATAATAATTTTTAAAATGCCATTTAAAAAAAAAATTCTACCAAAAATATGCTGACTCTGACTTTTCACCCTAACCTTTGACCCTGGTCTTGGTCTCTGACCCTTGCCTTGCCCTAATACTAACTCTGTCACTGACCAAATCAAACCTTGATATAGCTATTATTTTGTAAGTTATTTTTTTTGGACATACTTTTGCTTGTTTTTATCTTTCTCTCATGCAAGGAGAGAAAATACAATGCATCATCCTCTCCATTCAGAAGAGAATGAAAACACAGGGTGGGCTGCACAGTGATTAATCATTGTGATAGCCACTCAGAGGCTAATACAGAAATTAGGTGACTGGGAACCAGAAGTCCCAGGTCCCAATCATTAGTACCAGACCTGGGGCTCTAGAGCCTGGTCTCTGTGCTAGGAGCGTGCTGTGCGGTGTGCTCCTAGCACAAACACAGGAACACATATATGAAGTGCCTAGGTTTAAATCCCACCTCCTGCATGCTGTATATATGTGTTACTGTTTGGTTTGGGTTTAAACTACAAATACGCAATATTACACATTACTTGACTTCCTCATAACCAGAGAAAACCCAAGTTAACCAGACCAAACATAGAAGCATTAGAATGCATTGTTAACTTGAAAATATTTATATGATGACCTTACATACCTAGGTTTGCTACACTGTTTAAATTAAATTTAATTAATAATTAAATTCATGTTTAAATGTTATAAAATCTGACATTTTAAAACAGTGTATACAATATATTTTGGTTATGTTAAGCATAAAATGTTATGAGCTATTAATTATGTTTTTTGTTTTATTTTTTTTTACCTATTATATTGTACACTGACCTCACTACTTAATATGTGGTAAAAGCAATCAGTAAAAAAAAAAAGTGTGCCACCCTTTCTTCCTTCTAATCATGGGGTAAACTTATGGCACCATCAGAGGGCAATAACCCTAGGAAAAAGAGAAAATACAGAATGACTACTGTAATTGCTATATAATTCCAAATTAGATGACTTCCACTGTGTGATGAAAAGGGTTGTCTGAGTCTAGGTACTCTCAATTATTAGCACAGATCTGATATACCAGAAATGAATTATATCTACATACAATGTCATACTATATACTGTATTTCTGAATTAAAATAGTGTGATAGGTTTGAATTTATGTTTTTAAAAAAAAAAAACACTGAAACTTCTTAAAAAAAAAAGATACTGTATATATAAAATTTTTATAATTACAAACAATAATGCATGTCTACTTCTCAATTCACCAAATAGTATACCTTAGCTTTGTAAGTTCTGGTCAAATTTACGAGTTTTGTTAACTGCATTAAACAAACATGCCACAAATTCAACCCTTATAAAATGTTCAAACAGTAGAAAAAAATATCTTTAACAACAATTTCATGGAATTTAATGGGTATTTATGCCAAGATTAGTAGTTTTCAATTGTTTACATTGATATTTGCCTTGTGACTGGAGGTATTTAAGATCTACTAGTTCTTCTATGAGCAGTAGTGAAACAAAAGTGATTTTGTAGCATGTTGTCCTTTTTATGTTGCACCCTAGCAACTAGGCCTCTGCAGAATTTATTTTAAAAAGTTAGGTTACCTAATTTAATGTTCACTATTACTGTCGTATTTGATGCTACCAGGATTTACAATATCTTTGCATTTTCTTTTTCTTGACGTTGTTACTGTAGCAGATTTCAGTGATTATGTATTTGATGCATCAAATACCAAAAATAAATAGTAAAAAGTAATTTTGCTGCGTAAATGGTAAAAAGAGCAATATTTTTATTCAAACTTACCTGATATGATGCACTTAGCAGAGCCCCGGTTGGTTTGCATGCTCTTCACTATTTGGCATTTGAGAGCTGTTTGGAGTGAAAACTATTAAGTCACTCTTTCGTTGTAATGAGTTTGAACATACTCTGTACTGAGTTTGTTGAGAGTATACCCAACTACCTCCAGTGTTTGAACAGATCTTGTAATTTTCCTTCAGGTCTTTTACTTCATCTCTGCATTTTTGCCATCTTAAAACAGTAAAGGCAATTAATGTAATGAGAAATACACTTGATATTACACAGATGGCAACAACTAAGTAGATATTTGCTTCAGTAAATTCTTCTGTAATTCCTTTGGATTCCTGATTATCATACAGAACTTCCTCGCCAGATTCCACCAAGGAGATGACAATTTCTGTTACTGCTGTCATGACTGGCTCTCCATGGTCTCGAACCACCACCATTATTCTATATTCTTCATTATCTGAATCTGTAAATGCCCGCTTTAATCCAATTTCTCCAGTTTGCTGAGATATAACAAATGGAGCTTTTCCTGAGTGATCCTTAAAATGATAAGACAACAGAGCATTGTATCCGGAATCAATATCTATTGCTCTTAATTTAGTAACTAACTGTCCAGGTTGAATTGTTTTTGGAGTTCTTATATTCAATGCAGGAAAAAGTGGCATGAAAGTGGGAGCATTGTCATTAATATCCTCAATAAAAACATTCAGGGTAAGGTTTGAGTTAAGCGGAGGTAGACCAGCGTCAGTCACTTTTATGTGACATTGGAAATAAGTCACTTGTTCATGGTCAAATGAAACTAAAGCAAATACTTTTCCATTCTCTGGATTGATAGAGATATAGGAAGATATGGGAATCCTATCAACAGTGCTGTCACCAATAGAATATGTGATGAAGGAATTCTGACCAATATCTGGGTCAGATGCTGAAGCTGTATATACATGAGAGCCTGGTGGATTGTTCTCTTTGATAAAGATTGTATCATAAGCTTTCTGAAATAATGGGGCATTGTCATTCACGTCACTTATATCAATTTTAAGAGTTTTTGAAACTAACAGCGGTGGTACGCCCTCATCTCTTGCTACTATTACAACTTCATACTTAGATGTTTTTTCCCGATTCAACTTCCCATTTACAGTTAAAGAAAAATCTCCTTGGAATGCTGGGTGTATTTTGAAGGGTGAAAAATCAGTGATGTTGCAACTCACTTTTCCATTTAATCCTGAATCTTGATCATGAATACTAATGATGGCCACAGTTGTTCCTTGTGGAGAGTCTTCAGGAACAGATACAGCAAGTGAAGTTACTGTCATCTCAGGTGGATTGTCATTGACATCTACAACAGTCACTAGAACTTTACAATGTCCAACCAACTGAACATCTCCATTATCCACAGCATCAATTTGTATTTCATACATCTGTGTCTCTTCAAAATCCACCTCTCCAATCACTCTTATTTCCCCAGTATTCTTGTCTAAACTAAAAACTTTGCTGATATCATCCTTTGCTGATTCACTAAATGTGTATAAAACATCACCATTTTTCCCCTGGTCTAAATCTATGGCTTTTACTTGTATTACTAATGATCCTTTGGGAGCATTCTCAATCACACTGGCTTGATAAAATGGATGATTAAATGCTGGAGCATTATCATTAACATCTTCCACTGTGATAATGATTTCAGATGTACCACTTTAATCTTGGCTTACCCCCATCATAGGCTGTAAGTGTGAGATTGTGAACAGACTGCTTTTCTCTGTCTAGATATTTCTTTAACACAAGTTCTAATGATCTGATCTGATTCATGTATTTCTGGAAATCCAGTGCAAAATAATCACTGGCACTGAGCTCATAATTTGTAACAGCATTAGTTCCAAGATCTGAATCAACTGCTCCCTCTACATGGAAACGAGATCCCGCAGGCATTAATTCAGATATCACAAGGTTTCTCACAGAGGATGGAAATGCTGGTCTATTGTCATTTATATCTTCTATCTCTATAGCCACTCTATACATCTGTACAGGTTTATCCACTATAACCTGCAAAGGAATAATGCACAACTGTATGCCTGGACACAGCAGTTCCCTGTCTATTGTCTCTTTAACAAACAGAATTCCATTCTGCAGATTCACCTGGAAATATTCATTCTCATCTCTGGAGACAACACGTAACATTCTAGAATTAATCTCACCTAAATCCAGTCCCAGATCCTGTGCAATTCTTCCAACAAAGGTGCCGTGTTTGGATTCTTCTGGGATGATATAATGCAGCTGACACAGAACCACATCCCAAGACATTTGAAGCAACAAAAAATGGACCAAGCTGCCTTTTCCTTGATAATGCAGGTTTGTGTAAGACATATCTTAGGATCACTGAAGCTGAAGGTGGTAATTTTCCCAGTAAGGATGACATTAAAATTTACGGAAGAACCACAGCAGAGAATAAAAAATCCAGCATGGCCGACGTTGTTGCACTAGGATATGCAGCATCAGAAACAGAGAAACATATTCAGGTCTCACCTTCCTGCTATAAGTTGGTGGAGAGTGACATCTAGTGCCTAATATTTAAGTTGCATCTTGTGTGATCAATTGTAAGTTTCTTTTCTAAATCATTAGCATGATCTAATTTGTTTGACATGTTTAGAACACAATATAAAATGTTGCTTTTAATATTGCATATTTTTTTTAATCATTTTTGTTGAAATGCCAAAGACTGTTAATTGTAATATGATCGTTTTGTTTAGATTTTATTATAACATATTTAATGTATCCCTTTTTTCATTCAGAATTTTTTATAGAGCTAATGTACAATGGCTATCTTTCTCTGCATATATTGCACCATTGATTTTAAAACAAAGTAAACCGTAAAAGTCATTCTATCCTTTAGAAAGTTTTGCATGTTTTGTATTGAAAAAAAATGCTTTGAATATCTATATATAATATATTTTATACACATTTCTTAATGTGTATTGTGCAATACATTTTGCAATAAAATACAATTATATATCACAAAAAATATATCATTTAAAAAATACCTATTTCTTATCAAAGCATGTCATATAATACTATTACCAAATGTGAGCGGACATGTATATTTTTAATTTGTTGTGTACAGTGTAAAAAAAAGTTAAGTTTGAAATACTAAAAGAACTCAAACTGGCAGAAGTTATAGCAGTGACAATACATTAAATTATGTTATAATATTCTAAATAAATATTATCTTGTAGCAATGAATTTAAAATAAAAAAATAATATAATATAACATGATTTGTCAGACCTAATACATATATATGTGTATCTAAAATGTCAGTAAACCTTATAAAACATACTTGTTCTGTTTGTTGACTCACCAAGTAGTTAAGCAAAAAATAATCATGACTGCTCCAGGAATGAATCTTAAAAAACAAGTCAAAAGTCTCACCTCCCATATTTCTAGCCAGACATAGCAAATCAAAATATCTAGCTGTATGATTCCAAAAGTATGTAGCAACATCTGTTTCAACTAAAATGTATCCTGCACTAAATGAGATTTAAAAAGAAATTTAAAATGTGTTACCTCCTACATTAAAGACAATTAGAGGTTAATTTTTAATCAATAAACCTACTTGTATACTTGCGTACTATTCCACCCATCTACATGTCTCTTTTAAAAACAGAATGAAAAAAGTTAGCAACAGGTTCAGCATTAGTTAGTTTATATAAAATATATTTTATTATTTATGCATTGAATATGATTTTCCATTCAACAAACAAATTAGATGCTTTCCCATGGATGTAGTTGTAGTTGTAGCTCAGCACACAACAGATCTCTTAAAAAAAGTTTAATACCACCAAAAACTAAAGTTACATCCATGTTTTTGGGATATCTACTATATTTGGGAACATACATTTAAATTATATGTGCTATATAGATATATAACATAAGAATTTGTAATACACACCAAATTGGAACTCTGTATTTTGAGCACCATTTGATACTTCCAATGGCAGGATATTAAGTGCCAGTACCAGATATAGATATAAAAAAGAGAAAGTGCGGGACTTTCTTCACTCTCTATATGCACTCATACTATCAGCCTTGTGTTCCAGGCCCTAGGATGTCAAAAGAAGATGCTGAAGGGATCAACTTGAATTTAAGCTTTTTTCATTAGATAGTTGTGATTTTAGGACAGGAATATTATATAGCTTAGTGGATAGGACACAAAATAGCAATGATTGGTTGACCAGAAATAAATGCATAGAGGCAGTGCCCCATATACAGTAAGCTGTAAACTGCAAACAAATACCAGATTTCTAAAAAAGTAGAAAGTCTGTTAAATCAAATCTTAATGTAATCCTTACTCTGCATTACGTTTCAATGCATGAATATAAAAAAAAATGTAATCTAGTAAGCACAAAACGTAGCCACAGCTAGGGAAGATTTACATACATTCTTTGGTTGAAAGTGTTATGATCAAAATGAGAGCTTGAGTTTGTAAACATGTCAATCTTACAAACAGTATACACAGTAAGGGGTTCTTTTTAAAACAGTAGTTTTATACTTAATGCAAGGTATGGTTTTATTAGCTCCCCTTGTTGTATTGGTGTTGGATTTTTAATAAACATGATTTCAATATCTAAAATCATAACTACTGCTTTTATGACCTATAAAGAGTTCAAATCATTTTAATAAATATATACTGTTACCAGAATATAATCAATTATAACAGAGAGTGACTGTGATGATATCAAGAAGATAGTATTTTTATAGGCTTCATTATGGCTAATTTGATAAAAAAATAATTAGCAGTCACAGGTTATACATCAAATTAAGAAAATACATTTTCAGTTATTATTTTATTATTTCATTATTATAATGGTGAAAAAAGAATTATTGTCATAGATGACAACATTCTATCTAAAATAATGCTTTTTAATTTCATTATGTGCATAAAGTCAAAGGAAACTAAAAACACTTTGGTGGTTGATTTGCTAAAGGAAAATAGGCGGTGAAGTTTCATTTTCCAAAAAATACCCATTCATGTGCAAGGAAAATATAAAAACAGCATTTTTGATTGCACATGATTGGCTTATGAAGTCAGGAGATCTTCTCATTCACTAATATCTGATGCTATTTTTTTATATATACAGTACAACTTTACTTGCAAAGTGAACAGCCTATTTGCCTTTAATAAATCAATACCCTATACTCAATTGCTGTTTCTGTTTTTCTTGCCAATCACTTCACATATAAATAATTTCACAGGTAAACTATGTTCAAAGATATACTGCTGATACTGTATATAAAACTAATGTATACATGGAGTAATCATGGCCAGACTTTTATTCTCAAGCTTAATATATATATATATATATATGTATATACACACATTAGTTCTTACCCTCAGAAGCACTTTATAGTCTCTTTCACATTGATATAAAAAATAAAATATGACCAGCCTGAGTGAATGTATATCTTTGTACATTACAAGTGCAAAACCACAGTTTTAAAAACACCATGATTTCCATGTTGCTGCCTAAAGCTAATGCACTTTGTCATTTTAAAAAATTCTAATATTTGGGTTATTAAGTTTAAATCTGTAACATAGCAAAACTGAACCTTTGAAATACTTTGACATTTATAGTTTAATATTTGTTAATATATTGTAAGAATTTCTCAAAAGATATATTTAGATTTGGTTAGTCACTGCAAGAAAAATACGTTTTTATTTGTTTCTAATTGGTTACAATTAATCGATGTAGACAGAACAGATATACTACCCTTGATTCACAGATATATTGACCTAATAAATTTACACAATTGTAAATTTTGATTTTTAAAATGTTAAAAATGTTAAAATATTAACACTTAGGTGTACACTCAAAAACCCAAGTTTTTTTTTTTATACATACCATGGTTAACTGGTGGTGAATTTGGTGCTGAAGAATACATTCCATAGCAAATTTAATTTTTCAGTAAATTCACCGTATGTTCACTGAAGCCTACAGTTTCAAGAAAAAGTATGTGAACCCCTTGGGATTACGTGGGGTTTTGCATGAATTGGGCATAAAATGTGCTCTGAACGTCATCTAAGTCACAATAGAAACACAGTCTGCTGAACATAATACTACACAAACATTAGATGTTGCCATGGTTTAATTGCACATAACATGTAAACATTCACAGTGCAGGGAGGAAAAAGTATGTGAGGCCCTAGCTTAATTACTTCTCCCAGAGCTAATTGGAGCCAGGAGTGAGCCAACCTTGACTCCAATCAGTGTGATGATATTGGATGTGTTGCTGACAGCTGTCCTGCCCTTAAAAAACACACACCTGTTTTGGGTTTACTGGTTTCAAGAAGCACTGTCTGATGTGAACCATGCCTCGCAGAAAAGGGCTCTCAGAAGACCTACGATCAAGAATTGTTGACTTGCAAAAAGCTGGAAAGGGTTACAAAAGTATCTCCAAAAGCCTTGATGTTCATGTGTCCACGGTAAGACAGACTGTCTACAAATGGAGAAAGTTTAGCACTGTTGCTACTCTCCCTAGGTGTGGTCATCCTGTAAAAATGACTGCAAGAGCACAGCGCAGAATGCTGCATGAGGTAAAGAAGAATCCCAGAGTGTCAGCTACAGAAATCTCTGGCACATGCTAACATTTTTATTGACACATCTACAATAAGAAAAACATTAAACAAGAATGGAGTACATGGGAGGACACCACGGAGGAAGCCATTGCTGTCCACAAAGAATATTGCAGCACGTTTGAAGTTTGCAAAAGAGCACCTGGATGTTCCACAGCACTACTGGCAAAATATACTGTGGACAGATGAAATCAAGATTGAGTTGTTTGGGAAGAACACAAAACACTATGTGTGGAGAAAAAAAGGCACAGCACACCAACATCAAAACCTCATCCCCACTGTAAAACATGGCGGAGGGAGCATCATGTTTTGAGCTGCTTTGCTGCCTCAGGGCCTGGACGAATTGTTGTCACTTATGGGAAAATGAATTCCAGATTTTATCAAGACATTTTGCAGGAAAACGTATGACCATCTGTACGCCAACTAAAGCTCCGCAGAGGATGGGTGATGCAACAGGACAATAACCCAAAGCATACAAGTAATTCAACAAAACAATGGCTGCAACAGCACAGAATATGCCTTCTGGAGTGGCCCAGTCAGAGTCCTGACCTCAACCCGAATGAAATGCTGTGGCATGACCTTAAGAGAGCGATTCACACCAGACATCCTAAGAATATTGCTACACTGAAACAGTTTTGTGAAGAGGAG